GTTGTTATACAAAGCGTCCCCCTCAGGGGAGAGCCCATTTTTAATGTACATAGCTTCCTTTGAAGAAGCACATTTTTATACTTGATTTCCTTTAATGCAATACAGTCGACACTATTCCCAAAAAAAAAAAACATAACTATTAGTAGCTTACCAATCCAAGAAAGAGTACAAGAAAAGTAAAGAAAGCAAGAAGTAGCACATTGCAGGTCATCCTATCCATACATTGCCACCTTCTACTTTACCAGTCCATTTGATTTTCAAATTGATTACAAAAAATGAATTCATAAGTTTACCTTCAATACCCTGATCCCACAGAGGGGGAAAATCCAACATAATACCATGCAAAGCTACCCATCTTTCCCAGCGATGACCCTCATGAAAAATAAATGAAACATCAGTACTCACTCCAGTGTTGCTCAGAGTCAATCCATCATCTTAATCAAATTACTCATCAAACAACTACTTTACGCTCTTCTCCAATCCGCAAAATCACAGAGATCCGAAAGGGTTCTACCTGATAGATTACTGAAAGAAAAAACATCAATAACTCTGCAACAAAAATCAATCGCAACAGATAGAAATAGCTTCTATATCGCAATGAAACGAAACTACAATGTCAAAGGTCAGATTCCCCTGTAAATTCTGAGGAGCTCTTCAACCTCATCAGGATATTCATACACAAACTTACTAAGAAAACTCTTCTCTGTCAGATGACACACAGTTGAGAAGCTAGGAGATTTACGAAGAAGTCGCTTGCTTCTTAGATGTTCCACTACTCTATGCCTGGGTACCACTCTCCCCTCAAAGCTGAACATAAGCAATGTGGGATGAAGAATCATATAAGGGCCGTCAAATTTGAGTGTATTCAGATAAAACTCCATAGCACATCGAATCTTTTCTTCCGAAACCAACAGTACATGTGGTGCCCTTTTGAAAGCAGTAATTACATCTTTCTCAGACCACCCAAAACTCTGAAATAACTTAATCTTTTCCTCCCATTTCTCTTTAGTCAAAGAGCTCATGACCCCAATAGCATGAACATACAGGCTTGCATCTCGACTAAAGCCCAATTCATCGACCCTTTGTATAACACTCTTGACCCAGTCAGGGTTCAAAAGTAGAACTCGAGGAAAATTCATTATCAATTTTGCTATCTGAGAGAGTGTGATTCCACAACTCTGCATATAGTTTGTTAGAGGCAACAGGGTTTTCTTCAAATCTGTCTTTAGAAGCCAACCAGAATTCTTAATTGCTCTATAGACCTTATCATCGGTTTCAAGAACAAGTTTGAGAAACTCAATCAAATGGCACAATCGTTCCTCACCACGCCATAGAATGCCTGGATCATTAGAGATTAAATTGGTCAATCTGGCGTCAGAGAGGCCCAAATCCTGAAATATCTTTAGCTTGCGCTTAAGGGTTTTATCCACACTAGCTATCAAGATTCTTGGGCTTCTTTTTAGCATTTCTTCTATTTGGGTCTGAGAGAAACCACATTCCTTGAAGTAAGAGACTGTAGCATCAGCTTCCTTGTGGCTTCTAACATGGCCTAGTTGGGCACAGACTGGAAGGATGCTATCCTTAGAGAACCCATGCTTCTTGATCAAGTAATCAGCAAGGGGGAATGGTAATGCTGTCTCTCGTCTGGTGAGATTCGAAGAGAATGGAGCAAACGAATTTAGGGTTACAATGCATGTGGGGATATGGATATTGGATAATTTCAGGAAGTGAAAGAGGGCGAGTTTCTTATGGAGATTCATTTCATATATCTAGTTGAAAGAGATCTGGCATGTTACATGAGTAATGGCGCTGTAGAGAGAGAGAGATTTCATGGAGAAGAATTGCATAAAAAGAAGAGAGAGAAAGTTTTCAGAGGGCATGCCTGCGGATTGGGGGCACTGCAAGAACCAGCCTTCAACTTCTACCTCAGACGAAGCACTTCATTTGTGGGCACAAGGAAAGTCACAGAAATTAGGGCAACAATATTATAAGCTATATCTACCATGATCGAAGTTTTCTCAATATGAAATCGTACCCTCCATTTATTAAGTTCGACGGTGCATGCCATAGAGAGTACTGTGGCTGTCTTTAGGAAGAAGTGCTTAAACTCTTTCGAGATATGAAGGGTTGGAATTTGGACGATACATGTGCTGCTAATTTGGACGGCCGTGGTTTTATAAAACAGCACCTCAAGGAAAAGGTTAAAATAACTCCTAGGCTTTACAGAAAAGGGAAAGGCCTCTATACTTCCCTACCGTATAGAAGATCTATGCTTTTCTTACCATCCAGCCGTCCAATTTTGATCAAGAGAGTCACTCACCGTTTGATTTTAGATCCGACGTCTCAAAGTATTTTATTTTTAGTTTTATTTGTACAAATTGGATGAATATGAAATTTGGTACGTGGCATCTTCTCATTGGGGCATACCTATAAATAATAATAAAAATAATTTTTCGATAAAATATAATGACGAAATACCCTTAAAAAATTAAAGGGTATTTTGGTCATTTTATTTTATTGAAAATATTTGTTTTATATTTTTTGCTAGTGTGTGTTTAATAGAGGACCGGACGTCCAACATTTGGTGTCAAAATAGTCTATAGAAAAAAAAAAACTAAAAATAGAATAGTGTAGCGATGTAACATTGTGTTTGGAGCAATCTTAGCCCTCTATTCAGAATGGACGGTTGAATAAGGGGAAATATATAAGTTTTATGCTATAAAAAAAGCCTAGAAAGCTTACCCTTATGAAAAAAAAGACAAAGCCTCACTTCAAAACTCACTAGAAAAGTAAACATTTGATGGCATAAATTTTTTAAATAGATCATCTCAACCTTGACAATTATGGTTGTGAAACAAATTAGGATTTTAATATCTAAAAATAGTGTATATTATAACATATTATGTTGATAGTTCATTTTCAAGTATTTATGGATCCACATGAAATATAGCATTTTTTGAGCTACGAATTTTAATCGATGGTGAAAATTGATTTTAGATCAATCCTACATATTTTCATGGACAAAGTGTTTTCCAAACAAGGTCTTGAGGTGACGCTTGTTGCGACCTTTTTGAATTTTGTCCCATCAAATCAATCGAGCTTTGAAGAATACCAGTTTCACCAAAAACAAATTACTGATTAGGTGGATGAAATGGGGAATGGAATGTGTAATAAGGAAAAAAAAGGAAGAAACGATTAAAAAAATGGACTTGTTTATTGCCATATTATGCACTCTCTCAATAATGTAATTTGCTCCATGACGGTAAAATAACAGTGTGCAAAAGGTCATCCGAACAATTCATTCTTGGGCATATCTAAAACAGAAAGTCATATAGAAATGCTTGTTTATTTTGCTTGGTCTAGGCAAATTTACTATACCCTAGAGTTGAATAAACATAGAGAAAGAGAACGTTGCATTTATATTTTTAAAGAGAGCAGGATAGTAACCGTTGAGAGAGAGAAATCGAGTTAGCAAAAAGGTGTCAAATATTGGAGTAGTCTAAAGAGTGAATAGAGCTCAAAGAAGTGGTTGTTCTAATGATTAATTTATGACCTTGTTGTGTCTGAGAATTTCAAGGCATCCATAAATGCATAACATATGTTCCAATTTTTAAATGACAACCAAGAGTAGTTTCTTTCACAATTCTTACTCGTACAAATATTTACGTACGTTAATGCGTTCCTCTAAATTGTTGCCGTAATGGAGTTTGTTTTTTAATAACTTTTAATTTTATTTTGTCATGGCCTGTCCATAATAATGCACGCTATTGTAAGCATTAAGACATGGAAAATTGTTTCATGGAAGCTAGACGGATGCAAGTAGGTGGTCCATCTAAAAACATAATAAACTAATGGTCCAAATATTTTCATGTCCTTAAAAATTAAGTATTAAAATCCATCTCAAAAATGAATTTATTAAGAGGCCCACATTTCCACATATTCTAGGTGTATCGGCATAGAAACTGGGTCCTCAAGACATTGTTAACTAATTTTTCGATCTCCCATTAAATGCTTTCTCATTTCCTCCATGTTTTTTTTGCAAGACTTATTAAAATGCCTGAGAACTCCATTTTCCCTTAGCATTGCGCCCTTTACCTTCATAAAGATGTGGAGCGGATTATTTATCAACTATCAATTTTCTAAATACCATAAAGTTTGAGATCAAAACTTGTATTGCATGTGAGCATTACAAATATGGGAAAGTTTGAAGGTGCTTGTTGCTAAAACTCTAGTTAACACTACGGATCATATCAATTACACACTCTTCCAAGCGAATGATGCAATTAGTGAAAAAACAAAACGAGCTTATAGCCACACAGTTCGAATCTTTGGCTTGCAACATGTGTTTAGTTCAAAATGAAATACGTACTTAATAGTGCTATGATGACCAGCCTCATATGAAAATAACAAAAAAGAAAATTTTTTATATAGAGCCGAGGCTCTAAACAATAAAATTAGAGCCCATCTCAAAAATTTCATTAGAAGAGGTTGTTTTAATCTCGTCATCAAGATGCATTGACCGGAAATAAAAATGGATTTCAAGTTTTGGAAATTGTGCATCTTGTAATGTATTTTTGGACCATCAATTTTAAAGATTTTCAAGTTTTCGTTGATCCGCTTAATCTACACTATTTTTGAAGCTTTAAATTTTACAATTAAAAATGAAAATATATTTTAACGCGATCACAAAGATTTCCAATATTTAAACCACATTTTTCAATTATTTGAAAGTGGGCTTTAGTTTTATTTTCTAGACCATCGGCTCTATACAAATTGCACCCCTATAGGAAAAAGTTTATATACAGCCGAGGCTCTAAACAATCAAATTAGAGCCCACCTCAAAAATTTCACTAGAAGAGGTTGTTTTGACGCCCAAATATCCTCAAATTGATCATCTCAACATCATGATGCATGGACATGAGAAAAAAAATAGACTTCAAGTTTTGAAGATAGTGCATCTTGTACTGCATTTTTGGAACGTCAATTTTCAAGATTTTCAATTTTTCATAGATCTGCTCGATCTACAACTTTTTAAGATTTAAATTTTACAACTAAAGATAAAAATATATTTAAGGTTGTGATCCCTATGTATAAAGCATCCCATCTTAAAAATTGATGCAAATAGGTGGTCCATCAAACACAATTGAAACTAAGGGTCCAAATGTTTTCGTCATAAAATCATTATTTTATTTATTAAAATTTATTTATTTATTTATATTCATGATATCCATGTTAGAGATTATATGTCCTCAAAAATTGGGTCCAAAAATCCTTCTCAAAAATAGATTTTCAAGAGTCCACCCATTTCTACATGGACTCATAAAAACCGTGTACAAAAGTAAATGGTATCTTTGTATACTTTTCTTAAACTAGGTCATTTGAATTTTGAAAAGCTCAAAGTTTTCTATCCGTCAACAATTAATTATGCAAACTGCCATGAGCCAATGCAAAATATTCTTTAAGGATAAAATATAAAATTGGAACGTAAATCATTTTTTTTAACTTATAATATAATTATCTTTTCCCTTTAGGCTAGTCGAATTGATCTATATATAGATATATATCTTATTATCTTCTATTTCTAATTTCTATATCTCATCAGACCCAATAAGGAAAAATATCTTATTATCCCCTACTCTTAACTTGTAAGCAAAATGACTCCATCGTTTCTATCTTCCAATCCCCTCAACCCTTCTGACCATGTATTATTTACCTCAACAACGAAATGACTCCATCTCTCTCTCTCTCTAAAACTCCATCTCTCTCACACATCATTATTTACCTCTCTCAAAACTCCATCTCTCTCTAAAACCCAAACTCCATCTCTCTCTCTCTCACATCATCGTCTCTCTCTCAAAACTCCATTTCCCTCCCTAAAACTCAAACTCCATCTCTTTTTCTCTAAACCTCCCTCTCTCTCTAAAACTCAAACTCCATCTCTCTCTAAAACTCTATCTCCCTCTCACACATAAGAAGGTGTGCTCGTGTTCGAGCTCAAGTGTCACACCCCAAGAATTTACAATACTGATATTCCTGAAAGGTGACAGTCAAAACAAAGCAATTTTAGATATCTACCATGCATTGAATCAAAATCAAAACGCCCTTTTATTTTCCTATTTTTTTTGAAATTTTAGGATTATTATATAAATTCTGTTCATAACTAATATTAACATAAAGGTCTAAACACATATACATATCTTGACAGGACAAATTTACAATGGCGAATTCTTACAAAGTAACAAAAGAAAGTTTAAGCACAACTATAATATCTTCCAAAGTTGACCCTGACGAGCACTCAAAATGAAACCGCAGTTATCCTGAAAAAAATACTTACCATAGTTTGATGAGTTTGGCTACTCAGTAAGAGATCATCATAATCCTAAAAATAATCATGGTTAAAAGATATCAATATTTTCAAAAAGGAGATCTATTAACAGAAATGCATCAACAGTTTCACTTTAAAAATGCATAATTAAGTATAATTCGAATAATTGAAATGCGTATAACATTTTAACGGCAGTGCATAATTCAAAGGATTTCACAAAATACCCTACTAGCGTCCCAAGTAGGTCACTTATATACCCCATTAGTATCCTGATCGGTCCACTTAATCCCTATCGGTGTCTCAGATAGGTCCACTTAATCCCTCCAGGACCACTTATGCTTCACCGGCATACCGGATGAGTCCACTTACTCCCTATCGACGTACCGGATAGATCCACTTATATCTCACCAGCGAACCGGATGAGTCCACTTGCGCACTTAATGTATTTCTAAATCTTTTTAAACATT